CCTTAACAGCAACCCAGTAATTGGGCTGCGTCCTTGGAGCTTTTGCAGCAGGCTTGGCGGAAGCTCCATCCTCCAGCCGAAATCTGCTTTGACTCTTGAGATGACCAACATGGTACGAAGCTCTGGGGCTATAAAGGGGTTTAGGGTTTAGGGTTTAGGATTTAGGGCTGAGGGGTATATAAGGATAATGGAAAATAAAATGGAAGCTACTATAGCATATTGGGGTTATATAGGGATAATGGAAAATAAAATGGAAACTACTATAGTATATTTGTGTGGCAAGTAGTTTGCCTTTTTTGCAGTTCCTGTGCGGTCGGCAGGAGAGCCTCTGATGCAGGCCGTTTACCACTTTGGCTGCCCTTGCCCTTGCCACCACGGGGCAGTGGCAAGCCTGCAGCAGGATCTATTGCCCGCTTCGCGGCATGGTATGCTAGCTACCGTGCACGATGCATGCAAATAAACAGTTCGCAGATGTCATACATGATAGCGTCAGACTTCGCAAGATGTAAGCAATATAGCAACAGCATGCTCACTTCCTGCTGTGATCCAAACAATAAATTCCCCTTTCGTGCAGGGGCTGCGGCCCTTCAGAGGTGCTGGCAACGCAGCCATTCCATGGGCCTCATGCAAACATGTGGGCCACCAATAGCGGCTCGAGACTTGCTCAGGGCTCCAACCTTCGGTGGGCCCGGTGAGCTCTTGGGAGGCCCAAAGCCTGCGCCGACATGTTGGGAGATCTGGGTCGCAAGAACGAAAACGGATTAAAGAGCACCACCTTGGGCATCGCCGGATGGACGGCATCCCCCTGCTTGCTGCTTGGGTGCCATTGCCTGATCACGCATGCAATGCAGCTGCTGGCCAAGGTTTTATGGCAAAGCCACTACGTAGCGATCACGAGCGCATGTGAAGCTGCCAACAGCAAGCCGCAGGCCTCAAAGGGTCGCTCGACACCTTGGATGGTGCTTGGGCCGTACGTCATCTGGGCATTCACGATGTCAACCAAACTGACATCCTTCCACCTGGTGAGAGTCCCGCCCTTGCCATATCCAATCGTTGGCCGGGGCCGTGGCCTTGGCAGCTTAGCATCTTGAGAACGCAAAGCCTAAGGCTGAAATCGGCAGCTGGCCCATCAGGAGGTTCTGGAGGCCGCATAGACCCTGGAGAACCTCAGAAACAAGAAACTCTGCCACTACCCAAAGCTGCATTTCCTGCAGCTTCAGGTTTCAGCTGTACTTCGGTGTCATTGCCATGGGCGTGCTGCTCCCAGGTCCGGCAAATGACCTGACCAAGTGCTCTAGGAACCCCTGCAGCGCTCACTCAGAGCCTGGGTAATACATACAGTAACTGCTACTTAGTTCTCCCTGTCGTAGGAGCATTTCTTCTTAGCAGCATGGATTTGTTCACCAAAAAATGAGGTGGCGATTAGTAGCCTCCACACCCACGCGATCGACTTCCACGCATGCAGTGGCCATGGTCATGTTCATACTAGAAAAGCTTGGCAAACACGGCAGGTCATCCTAAATCCACTCTCAGACAAATCAGTGGATTTCTGGACATACAGACTGCTGTGCCACGACAGCGCATGACTACTTTTTTTTTCAGTCTCCTCCTGGCCAAGAAAAAGAGGCGGTCTGCAACCTCTGCAATAGTTATTGTTCTTGCTGGTTTGTAACTGTACTTGCCCTTATCGCGACAGATTGAAACTTATCTCACCTTGGTATCTTCTGGCATTTGTTACGATGGGCGCTGTAAGCGTGGCACATGAACCAGCCCTGGTACTTCCTCTCCATGAGATCCCTGTAGACTAAGAAGCTTCTCGCAACAAAGCACCCCATGCATGAACAGCAAACAAATGTCATTGGCCCTCCTGGACTCTCAGACCATCTCACACCTATAGCTCCAGGGATCTTGAAGACTGGCCTTTTTTCGCTTGGCGCCAGACCTGACTCTCAAAAGCAGTAAGTACATCACGCTCCTTTGAATCTCAAGCGGCTCCTGACCTGGATCTGGAGGCTCTGTCGCCTGCCTTTCAGGACGAGATGGCTGCGCACTCCTACCCCAGCTCTAGCCATCTCCCTCCTCTTTGCGCAGGGTGCTGGTGCTGGTGGCATTTGGCCTCAGAACTTGGGGATCGCTGCTGGGCCCTCGCCAAAGACGGACTTCGAGCGCACCAATGCAGCCGAGACCAACGCTGGAGCTGGACGTGCTCTTGGCAAGTCCGGCCTGCCTTCACAGCAGAAGACATAAGCTGCCAGCTGGTAGCAGCGCCGAAACAGGCAATTTCGTGGTCGTTGGTATGGCTATGGTCATGTATAGTGCTGTCACACGCAACATCACACGGCACGATCTTGACCAAAGTTAG